CTCCCGATATTTAAATAAAAGAATATAAAGCACATACCTAACAGGCTCGTTGGAAATGGGACTTTCAAGTGCTGAACATCAGCTGAATCGGGCCCCTTACTTTATGCCAAGGAAATCCACAGGGATGTGCCTTTGTTTTCTAGGAAGGCTATGCACTAGTATTTGAATACCAGCACTACCTCTTTGAGGATAATTCACTTGCCTTGCCACATTATACCTTTTTAGCATCTAGCATCTATCAACATTCAGTTTGCATTACAATGAATATAAGCACTCAGACAGGTCTGATTCATGCCAAACAGCTGCTGTAATTTATGAATAAGCCGCATTTCCAACATGCAGCCTATGTAAGTTCATTAATAATGGAAGACTTTTTAAATAGCAATCCTGCTTTAGAGATCAGTAGAACATAAAAGGCATTTTGTTTGATCGCGGAAACACAAACCTACGGAAAGGAAAAATCTCCTACTGTATCGTGCCCTTGTACTTTAAAAAATATGTATGTCACAAAATGAAAAGAGTTACTAATTAGTATCATAACGCTGAAATGGAACCCCAAAAAAGGTCACCCAGACCCGGTCACCATGGGACTACCCACCCACTAGCCAGAGAGCAATCCAATAATTATAATTTTATTATTCATACCCTGGCCATCTGACTGGCTCGCCCCAACCACTCTGGGCAGCTTCCAGCATATAAAAAAATAATAAAACATCAAACATTAACAATTTCCCTATAGAGGGCTGCCTTCTGGTGTGTTCTAAAGGTTGTACAGCTACTTATCTCCTTGATGTCTCATGGGAGGGCATTCCACATGGAGGGTGACACCAGGGAGAAGGCCCTCTGCCTGGTTCCCTGTATGGAAACCACCAGAAGGCCCTTGGAGCTGGACCTCAGTTTCCGGGCCAAATGATGGGGTGGAGACACTCCTTCAGGTATACAGGGCCGAGGCGGTTGAGGGCTTTAAAGGTCATCTCCAACACAATGCCACCCACATTAGCAGAGAGTGCTGAACACAAGAAAAGCGTTTGGGGCAAACAGATTCAGATGGCTTCTACCAGACCTGTGCTATTCCAGATATCGTTAGGCTCCAACTCCCATCAACCCCAGCCAGCATGTCCCAATGTCTGGAACGATACAAGAATCCCTGCACGCCCATGGAAATGGGTCAGACCTTGATTAAAAAAAAAAAAACTCCACACTGTAGACAACTGTATGTGTAGAAATCAGCTTCAACATGTGCAGCCCCATAGCCTAAATCTGCACAGTTTCCACCTGGATTCTGTTTTTCATTCACCCTGTGCGATAGATACCAGGGCAGCCTTTCTCAACCTGTGGGTCCGCAGATGTTGTTGAACTACAACTCCCATCACCCCTAGCAGAGCTCAGGGATGATGGGAGTTGTAGTCCAACAACATCTGGTGACCCACAGGTTGAGAACCGCTGTAGGGTGTTATGGAATGACAGGAACTGGTATACATTATTATTGTTCTTATTTATTAAATTTGTATACTGCTCTATACCCACAGGTCTCAGGTCAGTTCTCAACATAAAAGTGCATTATAAAATACACATAATAAAAATAAAAACAAGAACAACCCAATAACCCCCCCCACGTACACATTTTAAAAGGGCATTGTATGTCAATCAACCAAGACCTGGTTAAAGAGGAACATTTTTGCCTGGCAACTATAGGTGTATAATGAAGGCACCAGGCGGGCCTCACTGGGAAGAGCATTCCACAAATGGGGAGCCACTGCAGAAAAGGTCCGTTCTCTTGTTGCCATCCTCTGGACCTCTCGTGGAGGAGGCACACGAAAAAGGGGCTTAGGGTCCAGCTAGGGGAGAGGCAGTGAATGAGACTGAGTTGTGAAATTGGGTTTACTGTGAGATATAGCTGAGAGGGGGCAGAGAAAAGGAATGACTAGAATGGAATTGAAGGCAGGGCTTTTGCGAATTCAATTTAAGTGTTTGACAATGATACAAGTAAATCAGTCTCTTCTAAAGATATACCAAGTTAAAGCAAAAGTTGCCTCCCTTAAGCCAACAGAGCTCTGAAATGCTAAGGAGGTTTTCAGTGCAAAACACCGAAAGCACTGAACAACAAAGATTTTCTTTTACAAATTACTAGCATCACTGGAACTCCTTAAGAAACGCCTGCAGTCGTTTCTGAAATGCTACTGGAGGAATTCTTTAGGCTGAAACGCAGCAATCCCAAGCAGAGGCTTGAAGGCGAAACAACAGTTACACATCTGGAAGAGGAGCTGCTTCACAGCCTTTGTGTACTGCTGCCCAAAGGAGCTGCAAACAGTTGCCTGGCAGGTTGCAAGTCTGTTCCCTTTTTTAAAAGCCTGGCCTCTTCAGATGAGAAGGGTTTGCTCAGCTACTCAGTCCTTTTCAGATGTCAAAGGCAACCCATAAAACAATCCGATTACTCCTGCGGAGCCACTTCTGTAGCACTATGGGAATGGGAGCAAAGGATTCTGGGTAACTTTGTCATGGGGGGGGCTTTGTAATTGGGTCGCTACATTTAAAAGGCAATGATTACTGACTTAAATTACAGTATGGCAGTTTTGCATTGTATCTTGCTTCCCTTGCGCCTCTATGAGTTTTTGCTATGCTAATGTTATATCTTACCCATGTATAATTGTCATTACCCTAGTACATACAGCGGAGGATGTCTTAATCTGAGAAGACATCTGGTGATGGAAATTCCAGCACTGCCATTAGACACAGGGGGTGTGAGGGGGAAAACAAGCTTTTAAAAAGAGTTTCCCTGAATTTTGCCAATAATTCTTCCATGACATTTTTCTAAGGAACTCCTGAAAGATCAGATCCCATCACTTCCACATTAAGTAACAACTCCAGCTGTGATTTCTACACACTGAGTGGAAAGCCTAACTACTTTACTCACAAACAGAAGGTCTTGTTTCAGTACTTATGATGAGTCTCGGAAACTGTACACCAAATCCCAAATGCGCAGTCACCCTGCGGTAATTTTGCTGGAAAATATGGGGGGCAAGGTTTTCATTGCAAAGATAACACAATATGGGCTCTGGAATTCTACAGATAATTCATGTAGCTAAGAGAAAATATTAAATCCAACATACATATTATGAGATAGTTACAAACATGCACTGTGTGTGAGAGAGGGGTGGAGGAGGGAGGGAGAATGAATCTAGCCATCCCGGAAACAGACGCCAGCCAATCCTCGGGTTGCAGGAACTGTAAAATCAGTCTCGAAAATGAACATCTGGAACATTTACATCTTAAATCTAGAGCTGATCTTATACGACCAGAGTCCATGGGGATGATGATAAAGTATTGACTGAATGAACACCTGTTTGTGTTGATTTACATACCTTTTTCTTCAGTTTCATTCAGTCAAAAGGTTATCTTGTCTACGCGTACTATGTTAACAAAAGCTGATGTACTGGGCTGCGTTTGATCCAGGGTCATGAATTAGGTATACAAACAATGTTACATTAACAAGTTTTTATGATGTATAAGCAGGGGTGGGGTTTTTTTGAGCTAAGAGCAACTTTACCTACAGCTACTAACATCCACAATTTTAAACCCATCCAGATCATTCCAGTGGCTTGTATTTTCACTTCCATCCTATCCTGCTTTGCATAGATGCCAAAAACCATCTACATCCATTAAAATATTACATGGGTGGGCAGTAAGCATGACAGCATGTCATTAAAGGATAATAGCATAAGAAAATATCTGCTGTTGTCCACAAACTTTTGTAATCAATAGATGCCAAAGATCATCTACATCTATTACAACATTTCTAGAGTGAATTGTAAGTGTAGCATCACATCACAAAAAGCACATGTCAGTATCTCCTGCTGCCCACTAAGTTACTACATTACCACTCAGTGACCTAGTTCTCATATCAACACTAAGCCAAACCTTGGCTTGGCACCAATGCACACAATCTTGGAGAGGAGCTTGCAGCTTTCTTTGCTGATCCAAGCCAAGATTTGGCTTGGTGTATCACCGGAACCTAGACTCATGAGCTATAACTAAAGTTTGCCCATTGATTTACAGCTCGTGGATTGTTTGGGAAAGCTAACCAGCCAATTTCTTGATCACAGGCAGTACTAAAAATGTGTTTTTTCTATCACTTGGTCTTTTGAAACCCAAAGCTACCTCTAAAATGCATATGTTCCTGCAGTGACTACAGCGATGTTTTACCTCCTTAATTTTCACTGGAAGGTAGCCGAAACCTCTTCTTAAAGTGATTTCTCCTTTGGTAGCACTAATAGAGCATGTTAAGAATAACTGGGTGAAATCAGAAAATTAAAATTGGATGCTGAGATTTGGCACATAACTTGTATAGATAGATATTTTGCCCAACTTTCTGCAACAGTTTTATATCTCTCTTTTTTGGCTTGGAGACAATTACTTTTTCTGTAACCTGCGTCTAGTGTGTTTGTTAGTAAAGGCAGCAAGGAAAAAATGTGTGTGACTATTTTTACATGTGGTCTAGTTTCCATATTTTCTCAAAAGTTACCTTTCAAAAACTCTGTTCACCTAGGGGAGGAGAAAGGATGAAGAAATCTGGAAACACATTTGTCAAAATCCAGTTCTACCTGTCCTCAGAAGCCCTAAGTAGGCAAGGAGAATTTCTAGGCTTTGATCACATGCCAGTCCAACACAATCTTTTGTGGTTAGGTACATTATTTATGTCTTTCAATTAACTTACCATCAGAAGATCGCTCAGGAGGAATATGCCAATATGAGCACTACCTGTATTCCTTTACCACAAGACAAACAAGTGTCAGGTAGGTGTTCATATTTTTTGATGCTTGGCATGGATAGCTAAATGGAATCTCCACATTCAGAAGTATAATGTACCTTTGTGAATTTCACAATACCAGTGTCAAGCACTGAATCTCTGAATTCAGATAGATAGGTAAACAGATGTATATGATTAATTTGGCCACCAAACTTTGGTTTTCTTGCATGTCGAGACTGCAGTGCACCATTACCTGAATAGTTTGCTTGCTGGCCTGAAGTCTTTGTTCAACAAGATGCAGCTGGGATGTTAATTTTTTATTTGTTTCCCTGGACGTTTTGAGAGATGACATGGCTGTCTTTTTCGAATTCTGAAGAATAGCTAACTGCTGCTGTAAGGATGTAATCCGTCCCCTGAGTGAAATGGCACAGCCAGGTTTCTGAACCACGATACTTCTCTTCTCTCTGTTTACTAAACATTGGTCACAGAGATCAACAATTAATTTGATGGTTTCCATTGACCTTTGATGAAATGGTCATCCTCTCGTCACACTTTAATGCCTCACAACTAAACATTCTTTAGAATCAAGTCCTAATCAAGCCCACTTTTCTAGTTGAGACAATGCAGGATTTAGTATACAGTACTACTATGTCGAGGGACAAGGGTGGCACTGTGGGTTAAACCACAGAGCCTAGAACTTGACGATCAGAAGGTCGGTGGTTCGAATCCCCGTGACGGGGTGAGCTCCCGTTGCTCGGTCCCAGCTCTTGCCAACCTAGCAGTTTGAAAGCATTTCAAAGTGCAAGTAGATAAATAGGTACCACTCCGGCGGGAAGGCAAACGCCGTTTCCATGCCCTGCTCTGGTTCGCCAGAAGTGGCTTAGTGACATGTACGCCAGCTCCCTCGGCCAATAAAGCGAGATGACTGGACCTAATGGTCAGGGGTCCCTTTACCTTTACTTACTACTATGTGCGCATTAAATGCATGCTAGATGCTGTGCGCATGACTGATAGAAGACTATTTAAAAGTAACGTATCAGAAGTGAAGAGGGTGTGTCTTCAAATTTCTCTCTTTGCAAATTTGAAAGCACATTGGTTATCATAGTAGAGACAACAGGCGGAGCAGGCCAGGCGTTATCGTTTTATTTTGGATCAGACTGTGCTGAAGGAAATGCCCTCCAAGGTCCTAAACTCTGAGTCATTCTTCTTGACCTGCAAACGCAACTCCAGAGAGTACTGGCTGTGCGCCCCCACCTCAGAATACAAGGCAGACATGAAGAATACTGCACTCTCCCAGTTAAGAATTTGTCCAGAATTTGACCATCTCCAACACCTTTCTTACTTCAACTGAATACCATAGGTAAAGGTAAAGGGACCCCTGACCATTAGGTCCAGTCGTGGCCGACTCTGGGGTTGCGGTGCTCATCTCGCTTTATTGGCCAAGGGAGCCGGCGTACAGCTTCTGGGTCATGTGGCCAGCATGACTAAGCCGCTTCTGACAAACCAGATTTGAACCGCCAACCTTCTGATCGGCAAGTCCTAGGCTCTGTGGTTTAACCCACAGCACCACCCGCGTCTCACCTTACTTATTACCTATTACCTAGTTGGGCTGGCCCAAGGCGTTTTGGCACCTGTGGCGAACCGCACAATGGCACTCCCTCACCAGGGGAGAACGGGTAAGGGAAGATGTATATCAGGGTGTATATGTATACCCCGTCACGAGGATTCGAACCGCCGACCTTCTGATCGGCAAGTCCTAGGCTCTGTGGTTTAACCCACAGTGCCACCCATACTTTCCCCAAATACTTGGGATTAGGTCATAAGACTGTACAAAATTCAGCACTAATGCAGTCATGAATTTGCTCATCCAGTTATCAGTGTGTTCTCAATTTGTTTTTATTTAGGCTTCTGGTAAATAATAATTAAAGGTGGTCTGTACTGTTCTGTTACTGCTCAAAACCCTGCTAATGTTCATGAACAGAAATAAGTTACAGAAATTGGCCTCAGATACCAGGGACAGGAGAAAAATACATGCATACGTGATATTTAACTGGCTTAGTTTACATTAAAAGTCACTCTACACAGATATTAGAGTGCAATGATAATAAGATGATAAATTTTACTTTATAAGAATCTTACCTTTACTTGGGATGAGAGCTGAATGCAAGATCTTCTTTCTGTGGAAAGGAACTACTTCTGTTTCTTTCTTTTGCTAGAGTCACCAAAAAGAAACATGTACAGAATAGTAGAGCATGAGATAGTTGGGTATTTTAAAAAGCTACAAATCAGCAAAGGAGGACACCTTCACCCTGGTGTGGCTTCCCTTTTATCACACATACAGCACAACTAAACAATTACCTATCCCCCACAACATAATACAAATCAATATGGATAATCTGGCCCTAGCAAAAAAACCAACAACCACAACCCATACCATCAAACCACACTGTAACAAACTGAATGCAACCAACCAAATTCTGGACTCTCTAATCTCTTGCAATGCCTATCTATCTATGTACATATGCACACAAATAACCTACTCTCGTGACGCTGACACGAAAACCCAGCACAAACACTATACACTAGGACGAAAGATCATTATCCCCCTACCTCCCTCGCTCCTTCTCTCTCTCTCTCCCCCCTCTCTTTTCTCCCAACAGCACAATATGACAATAGTGTCTTATACCAAATGTGAACGAACTATGAAATAGACTCGATGAAAGTGGAGGTGCTAGATGCACTTTTGCTTGTTTATTTGTGTTTTTTTTTGTAACACAAGGAAACAATTAATAAAAACTATTTTTGTTTAGAAAGGTACAGATTATCCTTCCCTTTGTGAATCAACAAGAGACTAATCAACAATGTAGAAAGTGAAGCACTTCCTGTATTTACTGAACTCTGAATACATAAAGATTGGGATTGTGCATGTGCTGCTTAGTAAGGTGAGAGCAGTAAGAATACGGGAGTGGTCAATCGCACCCTGTATAACTGGAAGGCTGCTCTGTGGAGGAGAACAAACTTTGGGAATTCACCCGGGCAATCACTCAGACAGACCATCAAAATATACCTTAATGCAGATCAAGGCATCTTCCCAAACACACTTTATTATGCTAAGAAACATTGCGAGATACCAAACAAAAAGTTCTCTGTGGAACACATATCTGAAATGCCAATGCAAATCTCATTCAGCTCAATCATGGCTCCTACTAGAACAGCATTTAACCGCTGTATATCAGGGTTCATATAAACTAAGCTCTCTTTGGACAACAAATAACGGTGTGAAGGGTGCACTGCCTGATGAGCCAAGCAGGAACACCTGGTAGCTTACACAGATGCTAACAGGATTTGCAGTGACACTGTGAAAACAAAGAGATCCGTGCTGTGAGTGACTTTAAAGAAATAGTTGCCACACAGCACAGGTTTCATACAGGGCTACTATACTTGTGACTGATTGCAAGATCTGTTGCAGAGGTAAGTAAATGCTTAGGATGTGATTTTCAGCTGCTGCACCAGTGCAACGTCATACAACACTAACAATATTTGATAACAGAGTGGCTGTTTAGCCAGCTTGTTCATGCCTTATCAGACTTGTGATGTTGCCACTTCCTCATAGTTTGATCCCCTGCCACTCTGTTAACATATCTTAAGAGGAACCACGATGTACAAGACAAATGCATTTGATCACCATTAAATATTTGTCACATACATTGAAGAGCAGCATGGTTAAATGTGCTCAAGTCCATTTTTACCTTTTTGTAGCATATTTTGCTTGGGCCTTCTAAATGCACACTGTTTGGAGGCATGCAATTATCTTCCACCTTATTTTGTTCCTGTTGGTCATTTTTGTCTGTCAGTGGAGTATGCTGTGCTTTTTTTGCAGTTATTGTCCCCAGATTCTCGGAAACTGGTATTTCAGAGTCACTATGAAGACCAGATTTGGAAACATTAGAACATTGGGGTTTAATGATCTCCAATTATCCAATAAAGCAGAAAATAAAGCAACCACATAATGATCTAGAAAAAACAAACACACTAAAGTGCTATTATTATTATTATTATTATTATTATTATTATTACCCCACACATCAGGCTGGGTTTCCCCAGCCACTCTGGGCCACTTACAGCATATCTAAAAAAATAAAACATCAAGCATTAAAAACCTCCTGATAAAGGGCTGCCTTCAGATGTCCTCTAAAAGTTGTGTAATTCTTTATTTCCTTGACATCTGAAGGTAGGGTTTTCCAAAGGAAGGGCACCACTACCGAGAAGGCTCCCTGTGACTTCACTTCTCGCAGTGAGGGAACCAACAGAAGACCCTCAGAGGACCTTAGTCCTCCAAACCTTCACCCCATATCCTGAAATTTAGAGAAATAAGTTATATGAAGTAGTGACTATAAGAATGTAATTTCATAATCTTTATTTCGATCCCTTTTAAAATGTAATGGACGCTTCCTGCTTAAGGAAAGGGAATGGAGAAAGGAAACAGCAGCAAGAAATCCCAACAACTGCTCTGATTCCTTGCATTAGTTGCCCAGGACTCTGGGGGCCACTTATCACTTGACCCTTGGATGTTGCAACCGTATCTAAAGATCCAGAATAGAATAATTGTTCTGTTTTTCTTTAAGGAAATATGTGTATTGGGAAAATTCTGAGAAGCCATTAATTCTCTCCTCTAGACAGGGTTGTGCATAGTTCAGACATTACATTTTCACTGGCATAGGCGTGACATTTCTGCATAGGCCACATGTGGCCTTGCTTGTCCCCAAATCTGTGGGAGAACTTTCCCCCAGAATTCAGAAAGAGCCTAATGGTAACCATATAAAGGGCATAGGATCATTGATAAATATGAAAAGCAACGATGGCCAGCTTACTTTGAGGTGACTTAAAGAATATGCCGACTGAAAGCCTTCAGTGATGGGAAGGGAGAACTTAATCTCAAACTTTAAAAACTGAATTAAGCTTCATCTGATTGCCTCTAAGGATACATGTGCCTAGTATGTTTCTTTTGTATCCTGAGAGCGCTGATTTCGCATATCTGAATAAAGCAGATTCAGATTGTTGGTGCTTTGGACTACAATACACATTATCCCTGACCACTCAGCATGCAGACTGAGGCTGACGGGAACTGTACTCCCAAACAACAAGATGAGACCAGGGTGGGGAAACTGGTACAAGACAACACGGATGACCTAACTCAATCCATGACAGCTTCCTAAGCCCTTAACATTATATACACAAAGACATACACACAGAAAAGATCAAATACTTGAGATAAAAAGAAACCTCCAAAATATCCAATGTTTCCATCATGGCCAAAACTACTTACTACCAAACAGTGTTATGTTCTTGTGATATTGCCACCTTTAGTAGTAGAAGTTGAAAATGACCACTCCTCCTGTCGTGGAAGGAATGTGAAAGCTACAAAATTTATATATAATCCAGATTTCAAATTAAAGTCAAGGTCTGATCGAAACCATGGATGAGGAACCTGTAGTCCTCCATATATTGCTGGACTCTAACTCCCATTATCCTTAAGCGTTGGCCATGGTGGCTGGGGCTGATGGGAACTAGAGTCCAATAACTTTTGGTGGGCCGTGGGTTCCCCACCCACATCTAAACTCTTAAACATCTTATAAAGATAATGTGCAAATTGTTACAAAGGATCTTCAATTATTATTGGATAAGACAAGCATCACATAACCTGGAAGATCCTTTGTTGTACACATTTTTAAAGCAGATGTTTCTTATTGCAGACTTATTCTGCTCACATTTGGTTCACTGGATGAATACAAATAACTGTCCAAAACCAACTTTCCATAACTGCAGATTTACAAATGTACTATACAATTCAGGTTGAACATGAAAAGAGGTGTGATAAATTCGTTTGATTTTACAACGTTCATAAGATTAAAAACAAACACACACACACACACACACACACACACACACACACACAAAACCCCCACAAATGAACATGAGCTAACCCCTTTCAAGAATACTGGGAAATATTCAAGGCATTATTCTCATGTGCAAATGGCAAGTTCTGAAAGTTGGATGATGCACATTATATGTATGAAATGAAATCAAGTGAGAAGCTGAGGAACTTTGCACCCATTGGCCTCTTACAACCTATGGAAACATCCTGAAGTGGCTTCATTTCAGGATCGGAAATAGCATTTGATAAGGACTGTTTCTAAGCACCTATGCAGTTATACTTACCTTTACAGAACTGATTTTTCAACCATCATTCAATTAAAGTTAGTACAATGACTGCACATAAAACATACATGAAATAATTAGTGTGGATGATCCTTAATTTAAAGGACGTTAAACAGCTTGTAGACATCTGGTTGCAAGCTGAAATGGGTCATTCAAAATTTATCTAACTAAATTAAGGGGAGAAAATGTTTCTACTCCCGGGTCGGCATGTCACAAGATAACTAAACCGACTTCGCAAGGCTTGCCTGGGAATCCTTAGCTGTCAGTGGTGAATATGCAAAGGGCCAGCAAATTAAATCAACCTGCCAAACTGTCAATTTCAAGCCTCATGACTGCATGAAAATAGCATCACTGGAAGAAATCAAGCATCGCCTTCTTTTGGGTTTCCTGGCACCTACTCAAATACTCGTGCAGTTGTGGCTAATTTTGCATGCAAATTTCAGTCAATAAACTCAGAACAAGACCTCCCAAGATATTTCAAAGGCTCTGACAGTATTTTTTCTGAATACCAAATCGACAGTAGTTAAAATTCAATCTCTATTTGCTAGTACTTTACATATGCACAGTGTCCCCTCTACAGAGCGAAGTTAATGAGAGCCGTACCTGCTTTCACTCACATCCTCCCAGCCGTCCTTATTGAAGTTCTCAAATACACCGCTCATAACCTTGATGGACTGATTGAGAAGAGACTGGTGATATCCCACTAAGCCTTTCTTCTTCCCTGTTTTCAACTTAACTTTGGCACTTCTACTCTTACACAGACATTGCCTGCAGGATGCCTCCGCATTGGCCATGGAGGGCACTGTCCTTGCTCTGTCCAGCGAACTCTGCAATTGCCTCACTTGACTCAGTAGATCCTTGTTTTCATCTCTCAGCGAGTTTGCTTCTGCCCATTGCCTCTTCAGAGAGGCAACCTCTCTCTCTAGCCCATCTATCAGTAGCAGCAGGTCTGCTTTGTCCTGCTGGACTTCTTTGATTTGTTTCAGTAGCATTTCCAGCTCCTTCTCCCTGGCCTCTGCTTCTTCCTTCTGCTGTTTGAGCAATGCTTTCAGATCACTGTTACCTTTCGTTAACTCTTTGTTGATTTCCTTCAATCTCCTTGATTCTCTCTCAAAACTCTTTAGCCTCCTTTCCAGTTCCAAAACCTAAATACAACAGCAAAAACCCCCCAACATATTTCAGTTTTAACCTTTCAGACAGCAGTCAGTCTAGCAATTATGTCTTAATGTCCTATATACTCTCTATGAAAACAAAATTGCATCCAATGCAAGGGCAAAAGCTATTTAAAGTACCTAATCGAAAAATAATTCCAAGGTAGTGCAGATGAATGCATTTGAACTGCAATAATACATCTGTTAAACAAAGGGCAGATGGTAAAAGGAAGTTAACATTCCCAACAAAGTGACACAGAAGTCTAAATATAGTCAGAGACTTTCAGCACAATCTTATACACGTCTGCTCAGATGGAAGTCCCATTGACTTCAGTGGGGCATACTCCCAGGTAAGCGGGAATGGAATTGCAGTCAGGGGTGCCAACTTGAATATATTATGGGGGGGCAGGTAAGCCCCCCCCCCGGCATAATCACAAGATGTGGGATGCACACACCATTTGAATGGCAACGTCCATCAGCTTTGGGAGTGTGCCCTCAAATATTTTATTGGGGAGGCTGAAGAGACTAGAAGCAATATATTGCCTGGACACTGTAATGGATTGCATATAGACTAACAGTAGACAGGAACATGGGATGGGTTTTCTGGGCCACCCCCTTGATTATGGAACTCCCTCCCTAGGGAGATTAGATTAACTCTTTCATCGCTCAGCTTCTGGCTGACAGTAAAGAGATTTTTCTTCTGTGTTTTTTTTTTATAACAGCCTCTTTAGTCTTGTTGAGGTGTAATTGCTCAACATTCAATTGTTGTTTTCTTAGTTATATTTCTTCTTTTTAAAATTGCTTTCACGTCTGCTTTATACACAACCTTGAGAGCCATGTGTCCGAAAGTTATCCCAGATATCAGACATTATTAAACTTTAAAATAAATTCTGCACATTAAATTCAGACTGACTTACACTGTCTCAAGAAATAATATTTATAATTTCGGTTATTTTGATGCTTATAAACTTAACAGCTTCATTCAGATCTTTATCTGAATGTTCTTCAGCCAACCGTGGTCCCTGGGGTTGAATGTGACCGACTTTTAAAGGCTGGGTGCGGACTGGAGTCAAGCCTGCACCACTACGGTCCTCTCCCAAGCCCTGCCCACCCAGCAAGCCCAGATTGGCTGGAATTCAAATCTTGGGGTGGTGGGAAAGCCCACCAATCCAAATGGACAGCCAGAGGATTTCCCCAAATGCTGGGTGCCTAGCGAAGTATTGCTCCCCAGAGGACGGAGTCTGCCGCGATGGGACTGCAACAGCTGTCCACCCCAAGCCATTATTCACATCAGTAGTGTGGTGGCCCTGCGCTCTCCAACCCTGCCCTTCAGACGATGACAATGGTTACTGCCCATCACTTATCAGGAACCGTAACGGCACAGGAAAGTGTGTAAGAACATTCCGTGAAATGCATTGACAGGTCCCCCCCCCATACCTTTTGAACATAGGGAGGTCTGGAGTAAAGATGAGTGAGGCTGGGGGAAATCCCCAGTCACAACTGTAATGAAAATGATACTTTTGCATGGTCATAGCAGACCAATGCAGGGCAACCTTGGCCTATTAAATCCTTCACTATTATTTTTCAGAAATACAGAGCAGACAAAATGGTTAGTGATTCTGCCAGGATATTGCTTGAATGAATAAACCTCACCATCAAATTTGTCATTTTGGTGCACGAGCCAAGTGAATACTGTTAGCGTCAGAGCATTTAAACTTGCATAGGCAGTGTGTATTGATACAATTCTGGTTCCAATTAAAATCAAGATTGAAGTGGAACTCAGGGATGTTACTCTGACCAATTGTCAGTGCTTTTGAGGCTAAAAGTAGTGGCACTCTGCCTAAGTTCAGTTGGAGTACTGTCATTTATTACTGAAAATAGTTGGATGATGTTCCAGAAGGAATTGCTACAGCTCTCAGCTCTAGTTACTCCCCACCATAAGCCAGCTACAATTGCAGCAAATAGCAATGAAACACCACCCTGTATATCTGGGTAGTACATACACTATGGAGTTAGTGCCAGAGCTGAAGCCTGTCTGATAATAATTTACGTCAAATTAGCCTCCATCATAAAGCCCTCCTATGTAAGATGCTTGCTGCCTTTTAGTTTTGTAAAACAGATTCTTCTTTATTTGGTGCAGGACTAGATCATTTACAATAGTTGAAAGGAAACAATGAATGTCTTCAAGGTTTATACCCTAAGGTCTCATGATAACACCTTTAATCCACAGAGAGGGAATTTAGAGTGTACCTGGCAAACAAAATTACTCTGAAACACAGGTGATTGGTGTGACATCCTCTACTGTATCGCTCAAATTATTTCAATTACTCATTCTACCTTAAGATAAATGAATGTGAGCATTTCCTGTTCTGTGTTATTATTTTAACATGATGTTTGTCATTCAGTAATAACGAGATGACAGCCTTCATTACCTGACCATATGGCAAGTGTTAGAAGTATATGCAATCACATCATCTGCTGTAAATTACTGTACTTCCTACAAGCTAATTCACAAATATAAGATAAATGGACATAGCTATACTGATATTAAGTCACAAGGTCTCGCCTATTCAGTTCAAGCATACTGTTAAAACTTCAGTTTAAGCAGCTCAAGAAATGGGGATGGAAAAGCGGAAAGACACTTTAAAATATATTTTTGGAGCAGACATATGGTAAAGCACAGCCTCCTAAGTGAGCAGCTGTTAACAAAATGAACTACTTAATATCAGTTCTAGAGATGTGGAGGCTCAGGAAGAAACAGCAACATTTCACCCCCTTTATCCCAGACCTTCCCATTTCTTGCACCTCATCCAAATAGTTTGTTCCTCAAGGGCTGCCAGCATGGTTTTCTGGGGCCAGTACATTGTATATGAATTAGGCCCTCCGCCCACTTGCAAAAAAAAGGGGGGGGATAAGTTTGCATAAAATTTGCATATGATTCGTGTCATATGCAACTTTTGTACACGTGTGGATGGCGTGAATGGCCCCCAAATGGGTCACAAACAACTAATAAGACAGAATGTTGGTGGGTCAAGCTGCTCCCATAATTCTACTGCCCTACTAGCAAAGGCTTGACCTGCTTAATTTCCGCCTGCCATGCATCTGTTAAAGGCATAAGAGTGCAGTTCTCCCCCAAGAATTTGGTTTCATGAGCTGAAAACTGGTTACGTCACATCTTTCATCAGTTAATTTAGGCTGGAAATATTTACTTCAATATAACACCAGGTGTGGTATTTCAGATTGTTGGGGCAGGTATCTAAAAAGGATTAAGATCTGCAGCAAACCAAGGTGCAGATAAATTCTAGATTAAACTGTTAAAGAGCAAGCACTATATCCTAAGAGCAATTGTGGTCATTTCTTCATGTTTCATAAGAAATACGCTAATGTTATAATCACAGATCAAACAGCCTTTAATTGTTGGCTTTGGTTTTTAGCAAAAAGATTTGAGCCTCTGACATAATTATGTTGATTCGAAAGTTTAGATGAGCAGCAACAACCGACACCCAACAATTCCCCTCTTTCCTCCCCTCACGCTGTGGGCGGTAAACCAAGTAATATACAACACACTGCTATGTTGATGCTACAATCCTCTTGCGCAGTCAGAGAATAACTTTGGAAAAATTTAGTTTCAGTTCAGTGGTGGTTGTGTTCAACCCAGGGATTGTGTTTTACACTATCACCAGTTTCAAAATATGTCAACTTTGGCCATGGGTTACAAAGTGGCTTGTTTAAACTACAAAGTTAATGTAAAACATGACCCCTAGTTTGGTCAGAATTAAAAGGCATATTTAAGGGAAACAAAGTCACTGTCCTAGCTGTGCAAAAGCAGGGGAGAGTGTGTGAGCTTGAGGATGACTGCAGTGTGTGCACAGCACTAAACCATGGTTTACTGCAGCATCCAAACTGGGCCAATGAGAAGCCTATATAAAGGGGGGTTCATTGGGCTCTTGGGAGCCTTTGATGATTTCATTCATTTATTTTTCACATGTTTGCTTCACGCAATATACCAATGTGCCTCTGCCCCCATACATGATTTGTGAATCAGCAAACCAGTGGCATCATCTTAGAGGTACCACATATTGGCATAAAACCAATTACATCGGGGGTTTAAAAAACAACCAACATAGCACTATTTTGCAGTGTGAACTTACACACTTATGCATACACAACCGAGTCTTGAAACTGTCCTTTCTGCAAGTATAAAAAGCCATTGGGGTGTAGTATTTACGTGTTGTACTATACAAAAGCAAACTGCGGCACACAAAATGTTTACTAAAGCTTCATAAAACAAAGAAATGCTTCCATTTACATCTAGATCTTCCCTGTCTCTTTAAATACATTTTAAAATTTTTCGTTCCCTCTACAAGAGACACATATATATTTTCCACAAGCATTGATTTCTGACACAATTTTGGCAGTTAGGGTTATTTTGAATTATGGGTGGTAATTAAAAAAAAGAACACATGGCTTACATTCATCAGTTCTGTCTTTTAACTTATGATCCCTTACACTGAAATTGAGATTTAACTTGCTGGACTCAATATCTTACAGATTAGGGTACCTTCAGTAATGTCTGTGCTGGTATTTCTTTCACATTCTTCTTTGGAGTACTGTTCTTGACCCCATCCTCTTCACCAAGTCTAAAGAGCAGCTCTGGAAGAGGAAATAAATAATATATTTTGACACCTAATATCCTAGTAAAACAATACCAAGGCATTTTAAGGAAATGGGTTCATTGGCTTCCCAATTATGAATAATGTGGTCTATTTTCTTGTCAAGCCATTTGGTCAGCCTCAAAAGAGTGACCTTTTTTAAAAGTCTTATGCTGTATAATTATTAATCCTTGTAGCATCACCATGTTTTTCCCCCCAGTACAAGCTTTTCAAAGGTACAATAGATGTGCAGGTTAAAGATGCTGTACTTTTATTCCCATCTTCATTCTTTTATAGACTATTCCCTCTGTGCCATAAAAGGCAAATTCACAAGTCTTTTTATCTACACAGTCACTAGCAGTTTTGTTCTCTGGGTCTTATCCCCTGCCAGGAGGATCAGAGTGATTGGCGAACAAAGCAAACAGAAACAGAATTAGGGTGGACGGAACTTTAAACTCCCTTTCTTGTAAGGTGAAAGATCAAGTACTTTACAGGATAAGTCGCACATGCCATTCCACTGAAATGCTGGAGATTCATAGCAATTAGAAACTCCAGCAACCAACTGGTGACCCATCATTCTATTCACCACTCTGAAAATCATCCACACGCTTTATGGTATCTCCCGACTGTACCTCCTCCTCGCTCTAGCCCCAAAGTTGAAAACGCAAAACCTATTTTTTGTCACATACTAACCATTGTTTATAAAAGTAAAAACAAGCGTTTCAAATAGGCAATCTGGAACCCGCCTTGAAAACACGCCCTGCTGCTCCATCTGATAAGCCAATTCTGGGGCCCAGTTCCAACCATTTCCATCACATCATTCCAGTGCAGTTTGTGCTGGATATATTCATGACCACATGGGCAGAAACTCACTCACACAACTAGCCAGTGTGGTGTAGTGGTTAAGAACAGTGGACTCATAATCTGGTGAACCGGGTTTGCTTCCCCGCTCCTCCACATGCAGCTGCTGGGTGACCTTGGGCTAGTCACACTTCTCTGAAGTCTCTCAGCCCCACTCGCCTCACAGAGTGTTTGTTATGGGGGAGGAAGGGAAAGGAGATTGTGAGCCGCTTTGAGACTCCTTAAGGTAGTGATAAAGCGGGATATCAAATCCAAACTCTTCTTCTTAGCTTGCCCCAAGGACCAAATAATAGAATTGCAGAGTTGGAAGAGACCCCCAGAATCATCTAGTCCAACCCCCAGCAATGCAGGAGTCTAAGCTAAACAATTCATGACAGATGGCCACCCAACCTCTGTTTATAAACCTCCAAGGAAGGAGAGTGCACCACCTCCCATGGGAGACTTTTCCACTGTCAAATGGCTTTTACTGTCAAAAAATTTTCCTGGTGTTTAGTCGGAATCTCCTTTCTTGTAACTTGAAGCCATTGGTTTGAGTCCTACCCTCCAGAGCAGGAGAAAACAAGCTTGCTCCTTCTTCCATGTGACAGCCCTTGAGGTATTTCAAGATGGCTACTTAATGAATGCAATATGAAATCATGGTTTGCATGTCTGAATGGTTCACTCCAGCAGGTCCTTCTCTCCCAAAATATGCAGTGCTGCACCCCTTCCAATTGTCCATTCCCATATTTAAATTAAATTCATCAAGTGCACATTAGCCAAGGGCTCAGAAAGTATGTTTGTGTGCATATACTAAGCCACGGCTGTGCTTTTAACTGTGAACTGAGCTTTTAAAAAGATGTTATATAGAGGAAATGGATTGCAGCAAAACTGCTCAAATGTTGCAAAAATATTTTTAGGGTAAACAAGACGTGCCTCCTCAGAGAATAAGATCCACTATACCGGCTAAAGGTTTGCTTTAGAACCGTCATTCAAAAGTAAAGCAGACATGGCAGGTCACTTAAGAACTTTCAATTCACAAACAAAGGAGGAGCAGAAGAAAAGCCTGCTACTCTCTGTAGGTTAGCAATCCTCTTGGCATAAACAGTGACTAACAAGTTTGTTAGAGAGAATTAGATCTTTCTTTTGTCTTTGGAACATGTCATGGCCAATTAAAACTTCTGTATTCACAAAATAAATGGAGCACCAGTCTAAAGATAATAGAAGCTGAAAAAAGTAAAATTGTGCAGCTGGGGAATATGTACCTTTACCTTGATATTAATCTATCAGCTCCCATGTTAGTTCCAAGGCTAGTCCCTCAGCACAGTGGTACTGCATACATTTGCTACTTCCTTTAAGTAACATGCAATGGTAACACATAGAGGCTTTTCATCTTTTCCTAAATATTCACTCATTTGAATGTCAATTGTAGCTTTTACATCAACATTTACTTTTGAGGGAGTTTTTTGTTTTGTTTCTAATAATAAACTGATCAAAGCACTCAGCGTTAAACCTTATAACATGATTAGATATATGAATTACAACTACTGAATATAAGATTTACACACACTGAAAACAAAGGTGATTTAAATATCTTTTTTTCGGTGATCCAAAATTTAGGAAAGCCACAATGCAACAAATGAGAGAGAGAGAGAGAGGAGTTACAAAGGTTCATTGCTACCAAGCAAAGTATGTAGAATTCACTCTAGATTCAGGTGTAGATCGTGAGGTTAACTGACACAACACTGACTAAATGTCCAGATTACAGTTAAAATTAAGCCAGAGCTGGCAGTGTATCTCCAGTCCCTCAGAGGAATGCTGCAGTCCCTCCAAGTGCCCCGGTTTTCCAGGAACCACAGATATAAGCTGCACCCGTAAATAAGCCGCACATTTAAAAATCAATAGGAAAAAAGAAAAATAGATATTCCCCTACACTTCCGGACTGCCTCCTGGCGGGGGGGGGGGGGAGCCACACCACTTTGCTGGCAGCCTTCCCCCCTTCCCCCTTCTTTCCGGCGGCTCAGGGGAGGCTTGGGAGCGGCGGGTGGGCTGTGCGCCATTGCCCTGTGCTCCCGGTGGGGCTCCCCACCCCCCGCATAGGGAAATTTGTTAATGTTTAATGTTTTATGATGTTTTTATATATGTTGGAAGCAACCCAGAGTGGCTGGGGCAAGCCAGTCCGATGGGCAGGGTATAGAGAGTAAAATTGTTGTTCTATAGGACAACCCTATTTTCATTGCAGTAATGTTGGAGGATATGGTGCTCCCATTCCAGGCCCCAGCCAGTCTGGAAATGGAACCTCAGAATACTATGAATAACAATAACAATAATTTTATTATTTGTACCCCGCCCACCGGATTGGCTTGCCCCAGCCACTATGGGTTTGGAGTGTTCAAAGTTTTGGGCTGCGCACATCCACAGGGATGTTGCTTTCCCCCACCAAGGGATTCTGCTTCTGCACTCTAAGCTAGAGGGTCAAAATGTGCCAACGTAGAAAAAGAAGAAAGATAATGGCAAGTATTTATGGGAGGCAACTGACTCCTTTGATGGCTTTAAAAGAGGACTAGACAAATTCAAGGCTGTCAATGACTACCAGCTACAATGGCTATGTTCTACCTCCACTGCCAGAGCAATGATGATGATGATGATGATGATGATAAATGTATTTTTTATACCCCGCCCATCTGGCTGGGTTTCCCCAGCCACTCTGGGCGGCTTCCAACAAAATATTAAAATACAGTAACACATCAAACATTAAAAGCTTCCCTAAACAGGGCTGCCTTCAGATATCTTCTAAAAGTCTGGTAGTTGTTGCTCTCTTTAACATCTGGTAGGAGGGCGTTCCACAGGGCGGGTGCCACTACCGAGAAGGCTCTCTGCCTGGTTCCCTGTAACTTGGCTTCTCGCAGTGAGGGAACCGCCAGAAGGCCCTCAGCACTGGACCTCAGTGTCCGGGCTGAACAATGGGGGTGGAGACGCTCCTTCAGATATACTGGACTGAGGCTGTTTAGGGCTTTAAAGGTCAGCACCAACACTTTGAATTGTGCTCGGACACATACTGGGAGCCAATGTAGGTCTTTCAAGACCGGTGTTATCATGGGAAAAGGAGGAGGCAAGAGTGCTGTCGCACACATGTCCTGCTTGCAGGCTGCCCACAGATACCCCGGTCAACCAGTATGAGACCAGGATGCTGGACTAGATGGGCCACTGGCCTGATTCAGCAGACTCTTTTCTCGTTCTTATGGTTGGAAACCAAATCCCCTTAACAGCTATGCAAACAGTGCTTTTAGATCCCAGATGCCAGCCTTAAAAAAAACACCAAAAAGCACTGAAATGCATGATTATGGTAATCACAATAATTTGAAGTTAAATTCAATTGATGCAATAGGGCACACATTAGAGCCAATGCCTTTATGACTTAATTATGGTAGAGTGCCATTTTAGGAGAACTGTGACTCATTTCTTACTTATTGAAGAGCTTCACAACAAAGAAAGCACTTGAAGCAATGTATATCTGAAGTGACTGACATAACTGACACAGACAAGTTGCTAGATGCAAGAGGGACAACTGCCATAGATATGGTTTGATAGGCCATTTCTTATATCCATGTATGTGATCCTCATTATTAAAAAGGGAGAAGCTGAAAAATTATTACAACAGCAAGCCTCTGCGTAAGTAAACTGAGGGAAATTTATTACATTTCTTCCAAAAAGCTCAGGGCAGCTGTTTATCCTTGTTACCCCCTGTCAATACTGACATCATACCAAACTATAAAGGTAAAAGGACCCCTGACCATTAGGTCCAGTCGCGAACGACTCTGGGGTTGCGGCGCTCATCTCGCTTTATTGGCTGAGGGAGCCGGCGTACAGCTTCCGGGTCATGTGGCCAGCATGACTAAGCCGCTTCTGGCGAACCAGAGCAGTGCACGGAAGCGCTGTTTACCTTCCCGCCGGAGCGGTACCTATTTATCTACTTGCATTTTGATGTGCTTTCGAACTGCTAGGTTGGCAGGAGCAGTGACCGAGCAACGGGAGCTCACCCCGTCGCGGGGATTTGAACCGCCTTTTGATCGGCAAACCCTAGGCTCTGTGGTTTAACCCACAGCGCCACCCGCGTCCCATATATACCAAACTATAGTTATCAATTGTGGTTTTTGGATTCTGGTTTCGCCAGTCAGGGTTTTAAGAAGCTTAAGTATGTTTTCAAGTAATTTGTGAATTGACAAATGACAGTTTGCATTTGGCTGGCAAACCAGCATCAGAGGCTATGATTTTAATAGTGTTTGAGAATACAGTTTGGTGTGATGTCTGAATTAACACATCATAATTATACAGCCATTGCTCTGTTTCCCACTGCAACTGTACCATGGGGCCTAGAATGAACTTATGAAGCTGAGCGTTGCGAGGACAGAAAAGAAAAGCACAGAAACAGATCTAAAGCTATGGTTTGGGTTATAAACTATAATTAGCACGACACATGGTTTGTTTGACATTATGGCTGAAATAAGCCTACCTTCTCTTTCTTGTTGCAGGCATATATTCAGTTCTTGTATTGTAGCTTTATCCCTAGATGTATACACTCTCATCTGATCCAATTCTTCCTCTAAATTCAGTCTAGAAAAACACACACAAGAAGTGAGCGCACAGCAGAAAGAATGCGGGGTGAGTGAGTCAAGGAGACATACCCTACAAAAACGTGCTGAATAAAACATGTCACTTAAAATACTGAAAACTTTTATACTGAATTTCAGGAAACACATATCAGCACTAGTGTTACCTGTATTTACGCGAATCTAATGTACCATCGAATCAAATGCATACCTCAATTTTCAAATCTTTGAAATCAAAGAAGTATTTGCTGGCAAATGTAAATGTACCATAAAATCTAATGTACACCCTAATTTCCACGACATAATTTGGTAACTTTCAACACTAGTACAGTGGTACCTCGGGTTACATACGCTTCAGGTTACATATGCTTCAGGTTACACACTCCGCTAACCCAGAAATAGTGCTTCAGGTTAAGAACTTTGCTTCAATATAAGAACAGAAATCGGGCTCCGGCGGCACGAGGCCCCATTAGCTAAAGTGATGCTTCAGGCTAAGAACAGTTTCAGGTTAAGAACGGACCTCCGAAATGAATTAAGTACATAACCCGAGGTACCACTATATGTTATGAGCAGTCCTGCTCCAGCACAGTACAATCAGCAAGAAAATCCTATTGTTCCATTTCTAGTCTCTTTAATTGAAAACATGTACATACATCCACTCTCACATTTAGTTACAATGCCAACTTTTGGGGAAATCAGTAATCAAATCACAACCACGTAAGAAGAGATTTGTAAAAGATCTGAAAATAGAAAGCATTGTTGCAACGGTCTGTATTTGATTTGATTTTCTTGAAATGCAATATACTCTCTATTATGATGTTATGCTTTCAAGTTTGAGTATTTGCCCATTGACAGATTTCACAGCAAATGAAAAAATTCACTAGACAGTACTGGAATGACTGTGACTTGCTGGTACTCTCAAGCTCTGCCAGTTAACAGCACAGCCCTTATAAATGCGGATCTATTTTTCTTTCCTGTGTGTGCTGGTTTCTGCTTCCATTGTAAGTAATCAGGGTTTCAGCTAGAAATAGCTCCCTCCTATGATGAGTCAAAGTCCCATCAAGTCATCTGTCCAGCAGCAGATAGCTCAGCTGGTAGTAGAGCACGAGACTCTTAATCCCAGGGTTGTGGGTTCGAGCCTCATGTTGGGAAAAGATTCCTGCATTGCACGGGGTTGGACTAGATGATCTCTGTAGTCCCTTCCAACTCTACAGTTCTATGATTCTATATGAGAAGAACTGTGTGGCAGGAGCAGCCCTGTCCTCTCAGTCTAGAAACCTCTTCTTCCCGAAAAACAGCAGTGCATTACACTAAAACTATTTTAATTATATCCCTTGCATTTGAAGCATATTAGCAACCAGCATTTAGCTAAATTAAACCAGGACACAGAAAACTGGGGGTGGGGTGGGGGACTCAAAATTTCAGCCTAAAAAAATTACAAATAAGTAGGAAACAGAATAATTGTCTTTATGAAGACATCATAATGATTACAGATTAACCAATTATCATGACCTTAGGCAACGTACCGGGATACATGCAATAACCAGAGGCATTTATGTAAAATCTTATACACAAAGCACCTGAAGCACATAAGCAATTCCAGTAGGATACATCAGAAAACTTTTTAGATCACTCCTCACAACTTCTCTATGATCCATCCTTATGAAATAGATTTGATTTCATTTCATTTGCATTGTCTTGGATCAGGTGACAACTCTTGAGGATCAATGTACACTATATTCTGTAAGCAGTGCTATTTCTCTAGAAAAAGAGGTGCCGGAGCTCACCATGAACATCTCCCTCATTCTCTTAGAATGGCAATGGGGCCCACCTGAGAGTTGCCAGAACTGAGCTCCTGTAGGCTCCAGCTGAAAAAAAGCCCTGTCTGTAAGATATTTTACTACACGTAATTGCTGACCCTTTAGATGAAGGAGAGTACCGTATTTTTCGCTCTATAAGACGCACCAGACGCACCTAGTTTTTGGAGGAGGAAAACAAGGGGGGGGGGGGAATTCTGAATCTCAGAAGCCAGAAAAGCAAGAGGGATCGCTGCGCAGTGAAAGCAGCAATCCCTCTTGCTGTTCTGGCTTCTGGATAGCTGCGCAGCCTGCATTCGCTCCATAAGACGCACACACATTTCCCCTTACTTTTTAGGAGGGAAAAAGTGAGTCTTATAGAGCAAAAAATATGGTACATAAATTTTCAAACAATCTTTCAAACAAAATCATAGATATAATCATCAAAATCATACAGAGAGCTAGGATTGGCTGCACTTCTCAATTAAGAATACATTTAGTGGTAAACTCATTTTCCCCTGCATTTTGTGTGAAACAACCCTTCAGTGAGGAGGGTTTGACTCCCACCAAAATAAAAATCTTCAGTCCTGTGAAACATGATAATTGAAGCTTTGCAGCCACCCATTTTTGCCTGAAAAACATTGTAAAAATCAGGATTCAAGATGATATTAACAGATTGGAAAAGAGGGCTAAATCTAAGAAAATGAATCTCTATAGGGACAAATGTACGGTTCTGCACTTAAGCAGGAAAATCAGCTGCACAAATATAAGATGGGGGACACCTGGACTGCCAGTAGTACAAATGATAAGGGATTTTAGTAGACTACAAGTTTACATGAGTCAAGAGTGTGATGCAGCAGCAAAAAAAGCTAATCCTATTCTAGGCTGCATCAACATAAGTATAGTGTTTCGATCAAGGGAAGTAATAGTACTGCTCTGTTCTGCCTCGGTCAGACCATATCTGGAATAATGTGTCCAATTCTGCACACTACAATTTAAGAAGGTTATTGGCAAGCTGAAAACGTGTGCAAAGGAGGGTGACCAAGATGATCAAAGGTCTGGAAACCAAGCCTTATGAGGTACAATTGAGAGAATTGAGTATTTTCAGCCTGGTAAAGAGAAGACTGAGAGGAGATATGATTTTGCTTAGTCTTTTAGTCGTGTCTGACTCTTCGTGACCCCATAGACCAGAGCACGCCAGGCACTCCTGTCTTCCGCTGCCTTCCACAGCTTGGTCGCTTCGAGAACACTATCCAACCATCTCGTCCTCTGTCGTCCCCTTTCCTTGTGCCCCCATCTTTCACAACATCAGGGTCTTTTCCAGGGAGTCTTCTCTTCTCATGAGGTGGCCAAAGTCTTAGAGCCTCAGCTTCAGGATCTGTCCTTCTAGTGAGCACTAAGGGCTGATTTCCTTCAGAATGGATCGGTTTGATCTTCTTGCAGTCCATGGGACTCTCAAGGGTCTCCTCCAGCACCATAATTCAAAAGCATCAAGGCTGTCCTATGAACGATGAAGCAAGCTTGTTTTCTCCTGCTCCAGAGGCTAGGACCCAAACTAATGGATTCAAGTTACAAGAAAGGAGATTTTGACTAAATACCAGGAAGAACTTTCTGACAGCAAGAGCTGTTCGACAGTGGAACAGATTCCCATGAGAGGTGGTGGACTCTCCTTCCTTGGAGGTTTTTAAGCAAAGATTTTGTGATCTGTCATGGGTGCTTTAGCTGAGATTTAGCTGCATTGCAGAGGATTGAACTAGATGACTCTTGGGGTCCCTTACAACGCTACAATTCTATGAGTCATTGATTTTCATTAAAAATCTTAATGGATTTTCAAATATATAGTTATGTAATGTTTGGCAGAAGAAAAGTCCAAAGAGGTGTGCTGTAATTAAAATGGCATTCCATGCATATTTGTCCAGCTTGCCAAAATATGGAAAACAGCTGTAGTTAGAAGAGTGACACCCCAAGTCAGAATTGCAAAAAGGGAACATGGAAAAATCTACTTTTCCTATTGTATGATACCCTTCTGATACATATGTAGATAATTCCACTATTAAGAAGTTAGTCCCCAAAAGTATAGGTATATGCTTCTGCTTCTGAATGTCACTGATCTTTTACTATTTATTTAAAGTATTTATGAATCACCCGTATTCATAGATTTCTAAGCGATTTAAATAAAATATAAAATAACTCGCATCATAAAATAAAACAGCAGAATATTAAAAGTGACTGGATAAAATTAACATTCTGGAAAGGCTGGCTGAAATATAAAAATGCTTTCGCAGCACGTCGAAATCCATACAACGCTGGCGTCTGCCTCATCTCCACTGGGAGAGTGTTCCATAATGCAGGGGCTACTGCGCTCAATGCTCTCTTCTGAGCAAGCTTAGAGAAATTTAATTTCTGGGGGCATTAGGCACCTGAAGAAGCTGGGCCTCTGATTATCTCAGGGATCTATGTGACCTACAGGGGGTGAGGTGCTCATTAATATACCACGGCACCAAGTTGTTCAGCGCTTTGTTCACTGGTACTAGCTTGAGGTGTGAGGAGGGTGAGGAGACTCCTCGTAGGCGATGGGTTGCGATGGGCTTGCTCGCAGGCGAGAGTGCGGAGCAGATGGGGCGGGGACTTAATTTGCCTTCCAAATCAGAAGTGGAATGCTGGGCAGCTGCTTCTGCAGAGAGAGCATCAGTGCAGCTCATGAGCACATACCCAGCGTGACCAGTGGTTATTTTGTCGTTTTGCTTGTTTTATATTATAAATTGTTTTATATTAGGGACGTGGGTGGAGCTGTGGGTTAAACCACAGAGCCTAGGACTTGCCGATTAGAAGGTCGGCGGTTCGAACAACAGAAAATACCGACAATCGAGGAGTGGAGAGAGAAACTATTAGACTATGCGGAATTAGACAGACTGACGGGAAAAATCAGATATTTAAGAGATCAAAGGTTTATAGAGGAATGGGGAAAATTCGTGGAATATCTGGACAATTTAAGTGAGGGACAAATAACGCTAGTAGGGTTTAAAAGAACTCTGTGATGTTAGTAATAATATTGTCTAAAGAAAAAGGGTGGAAAGGATTTAAATAATGTCAATAGATAGTAGGAGATGCGAAAGTATGTGTTAGATAGACAGCGGAGGATTTGCGGAGAGGCTGAAGGAAGTCTTAATGAATGAATTTGTTGAATATAAGATGTGGATTGTTCAAT